ATTTAATATAAAAATTATTAGAAAAAATTGTACCACAGTCATTGATTTGTATGTGATTCTAAAAGATTTCAAGTACTTCAGGAAGTGAGAATATATTTTTTAGATATGAAGTTTTGCAAAAGATGAAAGATAATATGAAAAGTAAAAGTTTGAAAACAAATTTTTTAATGTTCATAATAAAGCTTTCTTACATGGAAAGATATTTGATTTCCATGAAAAATCTTTAATCGTAAAGTTGTCAAACCAAAATTGATAATTTATTAACAAAACTGCCAAATTTTTAAATGTTTTCTGAAACTGTAGAACCATTGAATATTTTTCTAACATGAACAAACTTTTTGAAGAAATTGTGTTTATTAACAGATGTTTAAAATGCTTTGTTAACTTATCTGATTAGCAAAATGTATTACCATCGATAAATGGAATATTATTTTTAAAAGCATAACATTAAGTAGTAATAATTTATTTAAAATTATATCATACGTTTTAAGCATACCTGCATTATCATCCTTTATTGAATGCATATTTTCTATCATGATTAATAAATGGAATGATGAAAGGAATAGTTTTTCTGGTGAACTTGTAGCAGAATTGCTTATAAGCTTCAATTGTAAAAGCAGTTACATACAATGCTTTGAAAAGGTATAGAATGATGTAGAACTATTGAAATGTGCAAAGAAGAATAAAAAATATAAGTTCAGACATAATGAATAAACAATGTGTGTGTATGTATACACAGCATTGTATTAAATTATTGTTAATTGTCACTTAAATTTATCCAAAATAAATCATAATTTTATTATTAATATACAGTAGAGTGTCGTTTATCCGAATCAATTGGGGACTGGGGTGGTTCGGATAACTTATTTTTCGGATAACGAATCATGTACGAAAAAATATATTAATTTATCCCATGTTGAAATTTCTCTCTGTTGCGTGTCGCTTTGCGTTGAATTTTCGTCGATGTTAAGCCTAACAAAGACTATTATATCGTTAAAAATTATTTTTTTATTTTGTACAAACAAAATAAATTTATTGAAAAATATAAAAACAATAAAAAATTATACTTCAGATGTTAATTTAGTATCAAAAACGTAAAATATTTGAGTAGCCCAAGAAATAGCCGAAGATTGCAGCGCTACAGCACTAGCGAAAATTTAAATTTGCCGACTGGAATGCTTTTGGATAACGGACGTTTCATATAACCAGCTTTTGGATAAACGACGCTCTACTGTACTTAATTTTCTTTTATTAATCCCTTTGTGTTCGCATCCAAATCAACATCTAAAAGGATGTCATTTGTCCTATATTGAGCATCTCAACATGTGGCAGCTCTGACTCTATCACAAAAACTAACAAACAATGTGAACACTTTGGCAATGAATGTATATGACAAGACAGTCATTATCATTTAGGGTCTGTGGTCTTTGTCATTGGCAGTGTGCCTATGCTGATCTTTTAACAAATGGTATTTTCTTAATGTGAGAAGGAATAATTCTTTGTATTCCTTTGTTTTTATCTTATATATATGGTCTAACTGAGAAAAAAACATATGCCATATTACATGATGATATGGCAAATATTATGGCATGCATGAAATTTCTGATGATATGCAGAAAAAGCTTTCTTTGTTCACAAGTCAATTTTGATGGACAGTTTAGGTGGCATAAGAAAGCCAACCTGAAGTAGGAATGGCCCTGTGTGAATGAAATGAATGTAAATGAAATTGAGTTAAATTTAGAAATTAAAAATTATGGCAACTTGTGGCAAAAATTTCGGAATTACTTGTCATCAGGATGTTTCTGCAATGATATAGAGTAAGCATGTAAAAAAGAAATAAAACAAGCAATAGATCAAAATGTTTTTCTAATAATAATAGTTAAATGTTTTGACTACATTAAATATAACTTGTGCACTTAATTTGTATGATGTTATAAGTTTTTAAATTTTAGGTTTGATAGTGCAATTTTTTTTCCTATCTAACTAACTTTCCTATCAACCAGGTGTCATTATTGTTGCTTTCAGACTTGAGCCTTTAAGACTGTCACTGTCATCGATTAAAATAACATCATATAAATAAAGCGCACAAGTTTTTAATTTTACATATAATTTTACATTAATAATTCACTAATTTACCATTACTTTGCTTCATTAAAAGTTTTATTTTTTTTACATTCTTTGTGAGTATTGCTATTATACCATGTATTCAAAATCTCAGCACACAGCCAGCAACACTCAGCACTTCTGTTCAAAATCTCAGCCAACTTCTGGTTGCTGCCAGTGTCTTTTTCAGTGCTTGATACACCAGCAAATAAGATGGCAGCCACCATGAGGCTCGTAAGACTTCTATTTTGCATCAACAATTTTGAATTTAATTTATTTGTCGATGAATAAACTCAGAATAAATTAATATTCAGTTAGTACGTTAATAGAATATTTTAATATACTAGTATATTTAACTAAGACATCACATATTTTTTTTCAGTTGTTAAATTGTAATCTTAGGATTGATTTAATTATTTAAAACTCCTACGGAAATTTAAAATATCTTTATCTCTATTTCTCTTTTCAAAATTTTTTATTTTTTATTAATCTGTTCTAATTAAAGAAGTTCAAAAACATTTAATGTAACGTGGAAGTCCACAACATTTGCCATTTTTATTGTTTTTTCTCTTCTGAAATTTCCGGCAGTCAAGTTCACAAACCACTTGCTCACAATTGACAAATGTTTATATTAACTATGAAAACTTACATACAGTTATGACATTACAAACATAAAGCAATTACAATAATTCAGATATAGCAAAGTTCAAAAGTCAATTAAACCACATCCACAACAACAGGTCCATCGAAAAGGACTCCTTGCGACGAATCCCTTGGGACAGTTTCAACAAGATGGCGAGACGAAGCACCTTCTTCAGCAAACAAGGCAAACTTGAGTTTTCTTACCAGGTCCTAGGCGAACTCCCGTTCGCTTACCACGTCCTAGGCAAACTCCTGTTCCCTTACCAAGTCCTAGGCAAACTGAACTTCCTGCCTAAATTCAATCTTTTTATATCGGATTGAAATGAATGTAAGTCCTCCAATCAGCGCTTAGTAGCGCTATCGGACATCCGCTGGTCGTATGATGTTTTCTAGCCAATCTGCAGTCGAGTTCCATAACTTCCAACATCGCCTGATCCACATTTCCATGATGACAGCCGTTGCTTGTTCAAAACCAGGAAAAGCGTGGGACTCTTACATCCAGACGATTTTTATCCTGACACCGGCAGTCAGCGTTTGTGTTCTCTAGAACAGTGTTTTCAATCTTCTTGAATACACAACCCTTTACAAGTTAAAAAATTCTGGTGACCCCCCAGGGCCATATTAAAACTATATCAGTGATTTTAAAAACTATGTATTTAATTTTCTTTCTGTTGAGACAAATTATTGTTGATTAAAATGAAAAATTTCATAAGAATTGACAATAACTCAACACAGATAAGGTATGAAATTTCCTTTAATCATAACATTAGGCACTGGGAGCCGTTGACCTTTTTTTTTACGATCAGGATTTTCAGCTTCTACTTTTTATTTCTTTTTGCAACTCAACTCAACACTTTTTCGGCTATGATTTTCCAGGCCCCTCTCTGGCTGCACCCATGGTTGAGACCTAAATATTGATCAAAAAACCAATTGTACTGTAAAATAAACAGGTACAGCCTTCTCACTGAGATTGTAGTTTTTTTAATGTAGTGTAGGACCTACAAACACTTGTCTTTTTCTTTTACCCACGACCCTCCATGTAAGGCTTCACAACCCCCAGGGGGGTCACAACCCACAGGTTGAAAAACTCTGCTCTAGAAAATGCCAGCAGTTGCATCAATTCTGGCAANATTGTAGTTTTTTTAATGTAGTGTAGGACCTACAAACACTTGTCTTTTTCTTTTACCCACGACCCTCCATGTAAGGCTTCACAACCCCCAGGGGGGTCACAACCCACAGGTTGAAAAACTCTGCTCTAGAAAATGCCAGCAGTTGCATCAATTCTGGCAACATCTTGCTGGATTGATGCTGAGATTTTGAATACATCCATAGATGGAGGCAAATTCCATATGGTTGGCCTTGACCACTTTCCATGTGCTAAATGATTTCCATTTTATCTTTTAAAGCAGTTATGAACAATCTGCTGCATGCAAGATCCTAATGTGTGGCCCTGGGGCTTTGGCATACAAATTTCATTTTTCTGTTTTCTGCCTTGTGTAATTATGCAATCCTAATTAAGGTAATATTTGTTACAAAGAAGACTTAAACTAAACTTGACCACTGAAAAGATGAGAATAACTTATATATTACTAGTATGCATATCATTACCATATATTGTTTTAATATCAGTGTATAAATTGGCTGTTATGGAGTATGTTGATACCCAGCAAGCTTAAAGCCTGCAACTCTAAGAAAAAATGTTTGCAGCTTGCCAGAAGCCTATGAAGTTCTCTTGTGGTCTGCATCCAGTAAAGGTTGCTCATCTTTATATTCTGTTCTAAAGTTGAGATTTCTGGATATCTTGAACATTTGGATTCACTAATTTCTTTCTGTTTGACAGGCTTTTTTTCATACTCTCTGTTATTATACAATAACGTCACTTGAAAATGACAAAATACCATTTGAACAATAAACACTAGAATAATAAACAAATTAGCACTGTTTAGAATCACTATTAATGTGAAGTTACTACTAGCAGTAGTATCAGATGTGAAAAAATGTTTGCATTTAACATTTGTAAAGATATTCTATATTCTACATATTGCAGAAATTTTGGGGGGGATTTTAAACCAGTATTGCCAATTGGCATAAATCAAACCAGTGTAAAATAAGAGCAGCCTATAATTAGAAATAAAAATGTGAAAATATTTAAAGAAGAATGTTTGTATTATTCAAAATAGTAATTAACGTATATTTTTTAGATAATGTTAAATATAGCTTTTTGTTAAAAATAATTGTTGTTATTTTTTTTATAGATATTTTTACATTACACTTTTACGTGAACCTGTGGCTCGTTTTTTAAGTGAATATCGGCATGTTCAAAGAGGAGCTACTTGGAAAACAGCAAAACATTTGTGTGGAGGAAGAGTACCAACACCAGAAGAATTACCTTTGTGTTTTACTGGTGAAGATTGGACAGGTGTTACTCTTGAAGAATTCATTCAATGTTCCTCCAATTTGGCCATTAATCGTCAGACAAGAATGCTTGCTGATTTAACACTTGTGGGGTGTTATAATACATCTATCATGTCTAGACACGAAAGGGATATAATTATGCTTACCAGTGCCAAACAAAATCTTAAAAAAATGGCCTTTTTTGGTCTGTGTGAATTTCAGAAAATATCACAATATCTTTTTGAAAGCACATTTCACTTGCATTTTTTACAATCTTTTGAGCAATTAAATGAAACTCATAGTAGTCTTACTATGAATGAAATTTCTTCAGAAGATTTAAATAAAATCAGAAAATTAAATTATCTTGATGTTCAATTGTATGAATTTGCTAAAGAATTACTAATGCAAAGATTTGAATACATGAGAAAAACAGAATCAAATTTTGAAGAAGTTTTTGAAAATTTAGGAAAGAAACGAAATCAAATTGAAACACTTTTTAAAACTGGTTTGGATGAATCGTGACAAAAGATTATTATAGTTTCAACAGTCTAAATATCTGAAGAAAAATATCAGGTTAGTTTATATTCTTAATTTGAATTAATAAAATATTTTAATAGGTAGTACATTTGTTATTTATTTCAATAATTATTGTTTGGAATTTTTAATCTATAAACATTTTTTTGAATTTTAGGTGCCTATAGGAAACTCTATTTAGTTAGGCAGGCAGTATTAATATTTAGTATTGGTATTATGTTATTTATTTTGCATATTTGTATTATTTACAAGTATTATTTAATTTTATGTTAACGGTTATTGGTATTTTTAAATATTTGAACGTGTTGTTCTATTTATGAAGTGTTCCATTTANGAAGAAATCGGATAACGAACACTTTTGTGAAAGATTTTTATGGTCGGACAACAAACACATGTTTGGATAACGAACACTTCACTGAACAAACACAAGAAGAAGTGATGCAAAATAACGAATACTGATTGGTCTTCCTTTGTCTTCAGGCAACAATTCAAAACTTTTCGTAGCGCGGGAGACATCGACGTTCTACGCAGTATATACTGATCGGATAGAATTCCCCGAACTTTGAAACTCTCTCTTGTAATTCCAGCCTTTTATATTTCTGATAGAAACAATACTTTTACGTTTTCTTCTGAAAAAATGGATTTATGCTGACATCTGCTATTAAAGATCTTTTGAAGAAGTGGGAGGATGTCAGAACAATGGTTTTAGAATGGCATCTAAACCAGGTTGAGGTTAATAGGCTTACGGATCTCTACATTACAATGCAATTAATTACTTCTGAAAAATCATGAAGACAGAAAAGCAATTGACATTGGACAGATTCTTTAACTCCCACAAATGGAAAAAACATGACAAATAAAAATGCAAGACCGTGTATATATGTATTTTTATTATAACATATGAATAAATGTAGCAAGAAAGTATATATTTTTTCTTTTTTGGGAGTCTCCAGAACAAATTAATCAAATTCCCATAGAAACCTATGGTAAATTGATAATCGGTTAACGAACAATTCAGATAGTGAACAAAGCCTTAGAATGGATTATGTTCATTAACTGATCACCCACTGTATATACTTACTCAATGCACATGCACAGATTTTATATAAATGAATTGAAATTATTTACAGAATTCATTGAACTGAAGATTTATTAAAGTTTATACTAGTAATTAGTATTTTTAATAATAATGTTTATCGTGTTAATATTATGTGTGTTATCAGTAATATAAAATTACTTACAGTATATTTTTCATATTTAAAATATTTCCTTGAATAAACTCCAGGAATAAAGGTGCTATTAAAAATAAACTTTGGTTTCAAATAAACTCCAGGTTGAAAACATTGGAAACTTGAAGTACTGTACTGTTTAGGATATTGTAGTTTAGAATGACAGGTAAGGAGTTGAACCTAAATTCTCCCTTTCAAATTGTCTAGAATTGACAACATTTTCTATTTTAAACTTCATGGAAAGGTTTTATGAAATAAAATTATAAATATTGTTGAATATTGAGAATGGGGAAACTTCTTATTAAGTTTATAAATTGAGAACTTACTAGCTGAAGGGTAATTAGGAAAATGCTGGTTTAAACTCATCTCCTCTTTCCAAAAGAGATGATGAATTTGAACAAGATGGAAATCAAGATCTTGACTTACAACATTGAAACTGACATGAATGACATCATAATAACCAAATTGAAAGATGCTGAATTGGGTTAACTATGAAAGCAGTAATTATTTCAAATATAGCTGTAACCCATAAATACAGTCAATATATAGTTTCAATAGTTTGTAAAATATGCATAATTAAGGTATTTCGTTTAATTTTCACCTACTTGTTTCTTATTACTAGTTAATAAGCCTTGAATCTTCAAATAAATTCCAGGGATACATACAGTTTAAAAATAAAGCTCTTGGAGTTTAATCAAGGAAATATGGTAGTGTTTGTAGAATACAGGTATCCTTTGTATAACATGGTTTTGCTCTAAAACAGTTTGAAAATCAGGGATATCCCCTATACAACACAGTTTCCATTATTACTCTAACATGGTTTGAGAATTTGGGAAATCGTCTGTATAAAATTTCACAACTTTTAAGTGCAAATTTCTTTATTCGATATTTTTTATTCAAGTAAGCATGCGTGTCCATGGATTTTAGAATATTGAAATTTTCAATTTGTTTTATGCCTTTCATCAGGTTTAATGAAAACTGATAGTGCAATTTTTTCTTTCTTTTCTTAAACCTTCTTATCAACCAGGTGTTGTCATTGTTGCTTTCAAACTTGAGCCTTTAAGATTGTCACTGTGTTTTCTTTTTATAGCTAATCTTTGTATTTAGTAAAGTTTATTTAAGCATTTTTAGGTAAGTGTTATTAACCTTTTTTAGCTGTAGGTAAGTAATAATTTGTAAAATGACAAATGAAACAGAAGTATCTTGGTACTCAAACTGTTCTCAACTCAAACAATTTGGTATTTGAACACAAATTTTGGGAAAAAAATTGCTGTCCTTGATTGAACAACTGTGACCCACTAGAACAAATTTTCAATTAATACATATTTCTACAGTAAAAATAAAAAAATGAAGACTGCTGATGTTTCTGATCAAGATTAACAAAAATTTTCAGATGACTATACTTTGTAAAAAGAAAACACCCTCGTTTAACAAAAAATTAATATTAACATTCAATATAGTACTTTTAATTGTGATTTATTAGTTGATTGATTGCTTTAATAAACATATTTCTCTTAGTAGCGAAAACAATACCTTAGTATACTTTTGTCAGCTTTTGGAACTTAACATGTTTTGTATTAGTTAGTCCTTTGTTTCATATAGCATACATTTGCATATGTCACTTTTTCGGAACATAACTATCGTGTTATATGAGAGATACCTGTAATTATATTGATAAGTTTTTCAGAATAGAAATAATTTTTATTCAAATGGTATTTATATACACAGTAAATCCCTGACAACTTGTACTTTGCATAACTTGGATAATTTTTTTTCAGAAAATTTATAGTACTGCAATTTAAAATTAATTGACAACAGAAAAATTATAATTAAAAAATTAACTACAGAAAAGTTGAAAAGTTATTATTGTTCAATAAGTATAACTTTCCTGTTTTCAATATCTGGAAGTCTTTGTGATACTATGCATTATATTACAGAAGTCATAAGTTGATGAAGACTATACATTGATATTTATTGTACTGTCATGAAACTTTTTAATAATAAATTCAAAACTACAACATACTAAATGAAATTAAGTAAAAAAAAATTTTTTTTTGTATAGAGTTAATTGTAATAAATTACCATATTTTATATTCACCACCTTATTTTTCACATAAGAAATACTGTTAACTCAGACTTTCATAAACTTGGACAACCTTCACTCTCTATTAGTCTAAATTAGTGGTGGTTTACTGTATTTTTCATTCAAACATTTTCCTTTCAATTATTTTATCATTTTGTCAAAAATTATTTTAAATAAATAATTTAGATCAGTGTAATGGTTTACATATTATTTTAATTTAAATGTATCTAATAACANCATTTGATTAGGAACTATTCTTATCATTTAATTTATCCATTTAATTTTATTTCATTTTCGTGAATACATAATTTAGTCATAAACAAATCATGCTTAATAAAAGTACAAGTAAAAAAAAATTGAAAATTGATATTGCTCTATTTTCTACATTTTAAAAGTTGTTCTCCATATCTGCTTAAGACTTTTTCTATACTCTTAGAGTTACAGTAGTATTTTGATGGATTGTAAATATCCTTGGCCTGCTCTATAATTGTCTAGTTTTTCTTTTATATAATATTAAATTATAATTTATTTATTAAAAACATTTAAAATCTAATAACATTAAATTATAAATTGTTTCTCTTATACATAATGATGATGAACAATTTTTTTAATAAAATTTTAAGTATGTCAAACTATAATTCAATCTACTACTACTTACTACAACTACATAATCTAGTAAAAACTACAAATAAATTTTTTATTGACTATAATTTATATCTTAAAAAGACATTTTATGCCAACAATCATATAAAATAATTAACACAAAAGTATAGCAGCATTATAATCATGATTTATTAGCATAATTAAGACATACTTGCTATCCACATGCCTTGGATAAGTTGAAAAAGTCTGTTTGAAAATTGTATTCAATTTTTCTTTTTTGCCTGAGGATGGTGGCTGTAAGCTGTTGTAAGTACTAGCTAGTCCATCTTAATTATGCTAATAAATTGTGATTGTAACACAGCTACACTGTTGTTTTAATTATTTTAACTTTTCAAGCTCATAATAGTCACCATCTTAAGACAATATTCATGCAGATGAGTTCTTGAAGTATCAAGAAAGTTTCTGGGTCTGTAGGTGATTATTATTATTATTTTTTTTCTTGAGAAACTCTAGTAATATAAAAAAATTACTTTTAACCCACTTCAGAAAAATCTGTTAATCCATAGATGGATATTTTTTGGAATAAATAGTGTTTAATGTACAGTTAAACCTGTCTGTCTCAAATCTTGTGGAAATGAGAAAAAAAATTTGAGATAGGCAAGTTTTGAGATAGAGGTTCCTACACAGTAAGCGGTAACAGGCTTGATTGGAGTTATGGTATTTTATTAGTACAAAAGCAAGTACAGTACATATCTCTATTAGGTATAAAAAAAACATTTTTGACATACCTTAAATATAGCTTGTCAATAGTTTCTAATGCCTGACTTTATTCAATCAATGAAATGCATGCCAAACTCTTAGCCTCAGCCCACCAATGGCTGAGTGAATAAAACTGTTGAACACTGGTAGTTGGTCATGGGTTCATGCCTTGCCAATCGGCTTGCCAGAGTTTTCTGGGTTTTCTTAACATTTGTAACACCTAAATAGGAGCCAGTTTCCCATTTAAAGTCCTCCTGGGAGGTATCCCCCCTTGGCAAATTGCCCATGTGTCACATTGCTGTAAAGAAATAAACCAAATTAAACTCGTAGCCATTCAGAGAAAATTAGCATTGTGACTATGTACTGTATTGCAAGAGATTTTCTCAACTACACTTCATGCTATCAAAATGTAGTCACTGAGCTTCAGTCCATAAACTGAGATATTGAATTTAGGCTGAAAATACAAGGGAAAAAATTGTTCAGTTGTGCTTCAAAAATTGATCATCCTCATTCAGTTATGCACAAAAAAAAGATATTCCTACCAAACGTTATCAATCAAAACAACCCTTTGTTTACATTGACACTAGGACTCAAATAAGAATAGTCTTGTTCTAGAAAGAAGTTTTGTTTGACAAAATATTTAACATAATTATTACTTTTTAGTTAAAAGAAGAAAAAAATATGTTCTTTAACAATTATTCCTTAGTTAGAATATTATTTTTTAAATTATATTATTGTACAGTATTTAAAAAGATTTTTTAACAATTTTTTTAAATATAAAATATATAATTTTTAAAATATTCTAAAAAAAAAAGGTCTAATTACAATGGGTTTTCATATTTTATTGTAAACTCTGCTAGGTAATTAAGATAACTTACAAGAAAAGTGTAAGTTATTAAAAGTTTCCTATTTAATCTTAAAATCAGTTAATGTTTAAATAATAATGTTTTTTAAAAGTTTTTCTTATAAGAAACACAAAATCTATATCCACCTTCAACTTTAATTAGTTTTGTATAATCAGTTTATAATTGCACTTGGTAAGATAATTTGAAACAGGAAATAAAATAATTCTGACCTTCACTTAATCATGTTTTCAACTCATTTTTTTTCAAATAAATCTGAGATAAAATTTTTTGTTTAAAGTATTTAAAGATTTTCTAATTATATAATTATTATCCAAGCTAATATTTTAATGAAATATTTTCAATTATTTTGAACTGAAAATATATTAAATATATATATTTGGTAGTGTGTATTTGAATTCACAATTTTTTTAATAAATAAAATTTATAAATATGTTCATAAAATAATGATAAATTTTTGTCCAAAGTAAAATTTCATAAAATATTTATCATTTGATTAGGAACTATTCTTATCATTTAATTTATCCATTTAATTTTATTTCATTTTCGTGAATACATAATTTAGTCATAAACAAATCATGCTTAATAAAAGTACAAGTAAAAAAAAATTGAAAATTGATATTGCTCTATTTTCTACATTTTAAAAGTTGTTCTCCATATCTGCTTAAGACTTTTTCTATACTCTTAGAGTTACAGTAGTATTTTGATGGATTGTAAATATCCTTGGCCTGCTCTATAATTGTCTAGTTTTTCTTTTATATAATATTAAATTATAATTTATTTATTAAAAACATTTAAATATTAATCATGTTTATAAAAGTTTAAAAAATGAATTTATAAAATTATCATTGAAAAAGTATTTTATTGATTTTAATCATTAAAACTGTTTTCTGAGTCTTTAATTCAGTTTAATATTTATTTTATCAAAATATAAAAAATTTTTTTCAAAATTTATGAAGACAAAATTACTTCAGTAAATTATGGTATCAAATATATAAAGTACAATAGACCCCCTATAACGCGTAGATACGTTCCACATTATAAGAATTTCACGTTGTAGGAATCCTTAAATACATGAGCCAATCACAGCCCAACACGTGAAGTTTACGGACTACGGCTGTTTGAAAGGTTTTCTTCCATAAAATTAATCAATTCTAGACTAATTCGACTCAACATTTCCAAAACACGTATAATTTTTTGGGAATAATCCGTATAAACTATGCTATAAACAAAAAATTGTAGGATTACTTACCGAGTGTGCACCGTTCGACATCGCCATTGCTTAAGCTTGTTTTCGTCACCGTTGTGTGCTAGAACTGCACATCCGTTCCAGCTGTTAGCATTTAACAGCTAACAGCTGGAACGGAAATGCACCAAACGGCGGCCGCGATTTCTGATAAGTTATTTTTCTGCGAAAAATTTGTTGAACTTTGGAGACATCATTAATAGAAATAATTTTTATGGCCGTTGAATAAGAAATGTTTCTTTTACAAGAAATGTATAAAATTACAGTGCTGTATTAGACTTACGGTACCTAATTTACATACTGTACAGACGATAGTAAACTCAATTTACTCACCTAAACTCTCCGTAGCGTGGCACTGGACGGCGGAAAGTAGTTTGGCTGCTTGTCCACTATTGGTCCAGATTCGACCAATCCTGTCACGACACGAGTTGGCGACAACGTTTTACAAGTCCCTTTTAGCGTCCTTATACGAATACTGTTGCAATTTTTTCGCCATGTTATAGGAATCTCCGTTATAGGGGGGTCTACTGTATATTTTCAGCAATGTATAAATTTAAAAATTTTAATGCTTTTTTAAAATAAAATCTAAACTGTAATTTTTATAAAAATCTGTCCTTTTATAAAAATATTCTAAAAAAAAACTATTCTTAAGTTATAGAATTGACTGGTTTAAAAATAACTAAATTTTCTCTAAATTATCTAACATTAGTAACAAATTATTTGCAAACATTAAGCATGATGATAGATTGCTGTAAAACTCATGTTGAATCATTTATTATAATTTAATAATTTGTATTCCATTCAATTTGGGGATTAATTAAATCATCTGTTTCATAATATCTAGTAACAATCTTCATAAAGAATTCATGATATTAACTTAATTTGAGTAATACTTCTTTAAACTTGTGCCATCAGGTTTTGGATATTTTCTTTCTTTTATTGCTATATTGAAAGAATAATGCATTTTAATTATTTTTGACTGAATATATTCAATAAAAAATTCAAATACAAATAAATATACAAATTATCAAAGTAAAATATAAAAAAATAAATGAATTTAAAATATACTTGAATAACACTTCTCACAATAATCTTAAAAAAATATTAATATTAGATTCAGCAAAGAAGGACAAAAACAATTTATAAGTGAAAATTAAATAAAGTTAAACATTGTTTTTGCTAACTTTTATAAGATACTGATATAAGATAAGAGTGCATAATCTGTAGCATTACATATTTCTTTAAAATAAACTAAGTTACTTGATAAAAAGACAAAAATATTTATAATAAAGATTTCCTGAATAAAAATAGAATTTATAACCAAAAGATAAATCATTACTTAATTGATTTTTAAAAATTATGTTTTATTGATGTTTTATGTGTTTTACAGTACTTCTAAAATAATTTGATAAGTAAAAAGCTATGCTCATGTAAATATCAATACTGGAATCCAATAGAAAATTAAATTTGATTTAAATTGATAACTAGAAAGTAAACCATAATAAGAATGTATTGGTATTCAATCTCCTATATTTCACATAAATGCATTTTGTATATTAGCATATATATTGTACAGTTTTTAAAAAATAATATAAAGATAAAATTTTTCCTTTAACAATTTTTCAAACAATGGATTTTCTATGACATTTTTTCACTGTACTTGTTAGGAAGGTTGTTTGGGATGTAAACTAATTTTATATCCCAAACAACCTTTCTAACAATTATAGTGAAAAAATATACTTTATAACAATAAAAATTCTTAAATTTTTTTTTATTTAAAAATTACTCTCTCATCATTCATAAACTCTGATGTAAAAAACTTTATCTTGAATAAACATACTATTCTAATATATTATATTAGCTTTGATTTTACTGTAAAGAATTTTATTTTCAGTAGTGTAGATAATTTTATTTCAGAACAGTAAAAAAGATTGCAGTTTCTTGAAAATTTGCTATAATAGTATTTTAAAGCATATAAAATTTCTAGTGATCTACTGATTACTGATATTTCATGTGCATGCACACATATATATGCTCTCTCTCTATATATATATATATATATGTATAGTGTCTGAAAATAAATTAACAAGCTGTATCACTTAATCTAAATTACTTATAATTTTCCTGTAATAACATTACAATTAAAAATTAAAGTTTTATTTTTTATAACTAAATAAATAAGTTAAAATTTCATTATAGTATGTAAAATTCAGAATGGATTATCAATTTAATGTATTACTAGATCAATTCTGAATTTTAATGAATATTTATATAGTATAATAATATAAATTTAATAAGTAAATTTGAAAGAAAATTTATAATGTTTTTGTTTTATGGAATAAGTTATTTATTTTATTTTCCTCCCTCATTTAGGTGACTGAAATGGAAACTTAATTTCTTACTGTAGACACAAAAGAAGATTACAAATCTGCATAAAAAAATAAATATATTTAAACAGTATTTATGATTATAATCTATATTTTGTCATTTCATTAAAGATGTAAAACAGGTGTGAAATATCCCAATTAGCTTTTATCTGATTTATCTAGTAGCTTTAAAATTTTTCCTAGCATAATTGATCTCAGATGCAGTCATTCTTGTATGTATTGTATATAAAACTTAGCATTTTGACAATCTGTAAAATACTCACAAAGTGTTTTTGATAAATTTATATAAATTTGCCTGAAAATTATATACTATTATGAAAGTTTTTTTTATATGGAATTAAAAATTTTTACTTAAGTGTCTCTTAATTTAAGCAAAATATGTAATTTTGTTTAAATAAGATATTTTATTTAAAAAATAAAACAACTGATGAAAGTTTGGTTATCATATCTACAAAGGGTTTATAAAAATTGAAAATATGTTAATAATGTAATCTAAACATTAACAGTATTACTTGTTTAATTCAATACTTGCAGTAAGAATTATACTGTAATACTATTTTTTTTTTTAAATTAATGTAGAGATATTTCTTTAAATTTTATAAGATTTGGAAAATATTCTAAATTATTGGAAAAATGAAAAACCAAGAATATTGTACAGGCTTATTTACTGAAATTGATTAATTAATGATGCAGACAGAGAAAATTATGAAAGTTTTATTGGATTTATTTTTTATTTATTAAAAGTATTTTTTACAATTAACAAGAACCTACTTATAAAAGTATACTAATATTATTAAAATCCGATAGTTTTTGTATGTAGCATCAGAATTTCCATTTAAAATATAATGCAGCAATTTATAGAAAAACATGGTATGTAATATCATATTCTATTAATTTTGTAGAGTATTTTGACTATAAAATTGATAAATTCTATTTGAAAGTAGCATTTATTATTTGTATTATTTATAAAAATCTTGATCAACATTTTAAAGATTATGGTTATTTAAAACTTTTTCATAGAAGTATTTTTGGAATTTAGTAAGGACTCAATTATATTAAGGGATGTGCTGGCCGATTGAGCAATGACTTAGAGAACTAGTACTGGTAAATTCTGACAGGATGAGGTATGTTTTCTGTTCTCTAGAATCATTGAAAATTTATCTATCCTAAAATTGCCAGGTCATGTCTGATATTGCTAGTCTGCCACTGATAGAAAATACATCCCTTTTATTTTTGTGAATATATTATGTATTATTGCCTGGTATCTTATAAAATTATTAACAAGAATAGATTGCTGTTGTTACAGATTTTAATACAGAAAGGATATATAGAAATAAATTTATATTCAGATATAATATTCTTATACAGTATGTATAAAAAAATTTTTACTAATCATATTGCACTAAAGAACCTGTATATACATATAAATATAATTATAATTATTGTTAAATGTAGAATAAATTTGAAATAATTATATTAAAATTGCTCATTGTTTTTTAAATAGTATAAAAGGATGGTATTTATTTAATTTGATATAAGAAGTGTTTCCTTAACTTTTATCTTAATCTATGAAATAATTTTATTTTATTATTTACTTATTTTTACTTTAAATATATTTCAATTAATGATTATATGTATTTGGATACATCATCTTAATGTATTTAATAGTTATGTATATGTACATAAGTCCTTGATATTTCTCATAATTAAACATACATATATGGTCAGAATCAATAAATTCTTATATACAAAAGTGATTTAATTTAAATGATATGAGTAATTTAGCACATTTCAAAGTTTGATTATAATCAATTTTACTTAAGAACAATTGCATAATCACTAAAATATTGTTTAACTTAAAATTTTGTACAGTGAATTAAAATATCTATATTCTGGTGACTTAATTGATACTTGTATACCATTATAATCATTTAAATATATTTAAATTGTTGGATAAAATATTGCCTTTTGAGCACTCACTATATAAATTATAAGCACAATTTGTACAAATTAATGTAATTATATAAATACTTGTATGTATTGTATGTGATATCTATTTTTTAAAATTATGTAAAATCTTAAATGTTGTATGAGATTTAATGTTTTATAGTATTACTACAAGTTTTGAGTCATTATAATGTAATATTTTATTAATAGAATTTTAATGTTTGCTTTTTCTTTATATTTTTTGCATAAGTAATTTATCTGGGAGATAGAAGAAAATTGTTTTCTTATTCTTAATGGAAAATTTTTCATTCTAAATAAAATAATAATGTAATAAAATGATTTTTAAAATCATTTTAACAAAAATTGTTTTCATTTTTAAACTTGAACACACATTACAGAATTGTATGTGACAATTTTTTCCTACTAAAGATAGTATCTGACTTTAATTTTATATTATAGTTTAATATATCTAACTCTGTTATTTCTATTTAAAGAGCTGCATAATTAATTTTGAATATATTATTTTTGAATATATAATTTTTCATTCTTTTCAACAAAATTAAATTCATAACATTTTTAATTTTTTGTTAACATAAAGTGGAAAATTATTTTAATTGAAAAATGTATTAGAAATTTTTAATTAAAGTTTAGATTTAATTAAAAAGTTTAAAGCACAAATTCGTCACATAAAATTCACTTTGTATTCATTAACAGCGGCGGCCTTATCCATTGCGAGGCTCTGGGCGGCAGATCTTTGCGAGGCCCTGGGCGGCAGATCTTTGCGAGGGCCTTGTCCTTTGTGCAAAGTATGTGAATTGAAATAGTAGGCACTTATTAATATTAATATATACTGTACTATAAATTAAATTTATTTTATTGTTATAACTAATAGCCAAGGATAAAATAAAAAGTTTTAAATATCAACTTTTTTCTACTTGGTTGTTGCGCGAGGCCCCTCCAAGAGCGAGGCCCCGGGCGATTGCCCTGCTCGCCACCCCCTAAGGCCGCCACTGTTCATTAACATAAGGAACTAGCGATTTATTACATAAAATTTCAACGCTAATAAAATTTTATTGTAGAAAGATCTGTTTTATAACTAGTTTTGATTTTTGTTTGGAGAAAATTTTTGTTCCCCAGGAACTGTCAACTTTTGTATGAGACAACAGCTGAAAAGTCTGTAGACAGATGCTCAGTGCAATGACCTCTGCACTACTTCAGAAGACATTCATTCAGTTTTTTTATTAAGTGAAGTAATTACGGCCACGAACAAATTTAAATAATAGAATTACTATCGATTTACATCAAAATGCTTTTTGTGAGAAAGTTAAGTATTTTTGTGAATATTTAACGATCCAATTTAATTCAAATCCTAAATAAAAGATAAATATCAAAAAATAATTTATCATCAGTGAATTTATGAATTCAGATTTGTATTTAAATTAATAAACCTAATTTAATTTTGAGAGAGAAATAATTTAAAACTTTCAAGTTTTTTAAACGATTTAAATATATTCTCACAGCTATAAACAATATATAATGAATAATTGAAATAAGAGACATACTTCCACATGGTTTATATCTTTCATCTCCTCTGGTCAATGTTTCCACTCTTAATTACTGTGATTATTATTATTTTTTCTTCCACTTAATAACCAGCTGCTTATATTTAAATTGACTTTAACGTCGGTTCTTATACTTTAATAAAAACTAATAAACTAAATATAATTTCATCTTTTAAGAGAGTGCACTACAACATAAATCGAATTTTGATGTTTTAGTGAATGCAGTTATATAAACAGAAGTCCTGCTGTCGGAAATAATTTTGTTATAAATATTCTTTAATGTTGAATTAAAAAATTTTTAGTTAAAATATAAATTATTGGTTATGCTTTTTCCTTATGTATTTATCTTGTTTGTTATGTAGAAATATAATCCTAAAGGAGATAAATCTAGTTTCTTCAAAAAGCCTGTTGTGAATGAAAATTGATACAAGCAAAAATATCTGTACATATGCGATGCATATGGTCGTGAAGCCATAGAGATGAATTTATTACTAAATTATATATTAGATATAAAATTAAAATATTCATAACTCGAAGTTAAGATTATATATTTAAATCTTTTCGAATCGAATAGGAGCAGGTGCACTTGAAATTTTAAACAATCTTTGATTTATTAACTGAGGAATGTTAGAAATCGATTTTTTTTTCGCTTTTATAATTAACGATATTAAATCCACAAAGTAAATTAACTAAAATTTTATTACTGTAGCAGTACTTTAGAAAATAGTAATTTTTATTTTATTGATTTTTTTTTTATTTAGTATGAACTTTAATTATAAGAGAAGTATATGTCTCGGTAGAATGGTGGTTTAAATTGGCCAAAATAATGTATGACCGTATTGTATTTTTTATTATAAAAATTCAGAAATTTTCCTTAATACGATTTACTTTATATTTTTAGTTCTTCAATGATCATAAATTGCGAATTTTTTCGAAAGAAAATTTTTTTTATTACTAGATAATTTCGTGCTTATATTTCGTAAAATTACTTTTCCTGGTTGATTAAAAAAATAATGTAAAGGTTAAAATAATTTTGGAGTAGGAAATGAATGCTTTAAAACAATTTGACGTTATATCTAATGCTCAAGGTTTGGTTATAATCGCGCTGAATAATTGATGTCGGATCCAATGTCATTAGTTAGTTAACTACGTACATTAAAACTCGTTTGATAAATTTTGATCGTTTGCGTGAGAAAAAGAAGTTAAAACAATTGTCACTAAATGCACTTTTATAGACACTTGAAAATTTAGCATTGAAAAGTTTCAATGCTAAATGGAATTTTGAAATAATTTCCAGTTTTACTGGAATAAATAATTTCTTTTAAACATATATTTCGCAAGTACAATTATAATAATTTAGAATTAGAAAGAGACTAATTTATTATGCAATAGTAGGATGTGATTAAATAAAACGCTCAGCTTGACAAAAATTTTGTTGCTGGACACACTAGTTCTGCTATAAATAATGCAGAACGAAACATTATCAAAATTGAAACACGAACTATATAATATTTGAATTTAATTCTATCAATTACACAATTAAGATTTAATTTGCCCGTTTAGTACCTAATGAGATGTATTACTTACGTGCAAATATTTAAAAAAATGTAAAATGCAAAAAATAATTTTAAAATATATATTTTAAAGCATTTAACGCTGTTTTTATGGTGAATTGATGTATTTAATAGCTCTTAAATAATTTAATGTTAAGGATTTGTTAAATAACTCAGATTAACTCTTAAAATTGCTTATCTTCGTTAATCGTAAACATTCTAATTGATAAATTAGTTCTCGTGAAGATAAACTATTGATAACATCAAATATTCTTGAAGAAACGTGAATTAATTATTCAAAATAAAAAACATCGATATAGATTATTTGGTAACGAAAAAGGAGGAGACAAAATCGAAACTTCGAACCATGCAGACTTAAAAAAAGAATGATTTTTAAATAAAACTAAATTAAAAAAAATAGTCATTAACAAGGTTAACTAAATAATTAACTATTTAAATTTTGAATGAATTTATAACGTGCACATTTGTTTTTTCATGAAATATAAAATGAATATTAAAACATTTGTCTGCATTTTCACATTATTTTTAAATGTTTTTACAAATACAACCTTTGTAAAATTTGTACAAAACTTTAACGTTTCATAGCAGTTGTAATCAATACCATGAACACGAAAATGTAAAATTGTGTCAGAATAAAACTCTATTACGAAGTTCGAAATTTATATACGTGCACACTGTTGTATTTTACGCTATAAATATAATAATTATATAGATTACAAATAATAAAAACGTTTAGAATTTACTTTAAAACTTTCAGGTAATTTGGAAAGTCGGTTTACGAAATTAATGTATTAATAATGTTTGTGTTGTGTTTTAAATATAGCACGATAATTGTGTTTAGCTTGTTTAATAAATTATCGAGTGTGCCATAAATATCAAAAAAAGACCTTGATATGCTTTACGTGATACATTTCAAATTAGTATATTTGATGTTTTATCGTTCATCGCGTAGATAGTTTATGCTATAGAATTACATTATTAACAACCTTGCTGTATATTTCATATCTTTCGAAAATGTCTGGTCTATTCACACAAGCTTAAAATATCTGCTCTTTTTCTCTGCGATTTTAATAAAGTATATTGAAACTCATTTAAAAGCTAACATTGTTAACACTTTCCAACTGAAGATCTCTGTAATAATGTGGCGTAAGTCTAAATCTTGGAAAAATTACTTACATGGGAGAAACATTTGTACAGTTATTATATCATATTGTATATGGATAACCAATAAATAGAATGAATAAAATCTTTACCAAAAATATAAAAAGATTAGAATAAATTTACAATACAAGCAAAACATATTAAATTATATCATTTTTTTAATCATAGGGACAAGTTAAAATTACATTACGTATATTTTCTGTTCAACTGCATTTTAAATAATGGCAAAATGTGGTTATTTTAAGATTTAAAAATATTTACGAATAATACTTTATTTATCATCGCTAGGTTTTGAGAAATTCGTAAATGTTATATTTGTAATTTTGTTATTGAAAATATTCTCCTTTTTATATTCCGAAATTATGTCTAATAGAAAACATAGATGATCATTTATTATCTAAAATCGAATAAGAAAAAAAAATATCGTGTTTTAAATTGATCTGCTAAATGGCTACGCTGTAAGGAAACCATCTCTCAACAACTAACTAGGCTAGTGAAGCATCCGGATTTGAATGCAATCTGTACTCTCATTTTTTCATGTTCCTATTGCTATGTAGTCAGCATCAACTTACCGTAATGGATACAAGATACGTTATAAACAATGTAAATTTATGTCATTTTGTAATATCAGAATCAGAACACATATCTCTACTTTAAGTTTAGAGAAAAATTTGTTACCTAATGAATAAAATAAAATAATTATCTCAAAAACCGTACATTATAGGTATCTGTATTTATGAAATAGTGGTAGAAGAGGGTCTAGTAAAGACGAAATTCATCCCACAAATAAAATTTAGCCTTTTTAATGTTTTATGATCTCAGTTTCCTTGGCTCCAGTAGTTTGATAAGCCTTATATATCTTCACCAAATGGTTTTTGGGATAATTATTTAATTTAATTTCCAAGATTTAGGTAAAATTTAGATTTTTGTTCTAAATATTTGTAATTTTTCGAGATTTATAA